AGATTCCCCCGGGGGTCCGGGCGGAATCAGCGGGGAGGGGGGAGTTAGTCTTGGAGGAGGGAGTGGCCAGTAGGGGCGAGATGGACAGGTGGTCGTCTCCCCTGACGCCTGGGTTCGGGTTTTAGCTCGGCAAAAGGGAGGGAGGGAAACCCGACGGCAAAGCAGAGGCCGCTCACTCGGAGGGAAGTGGATCCAGAGGAGCCGCGGAGCCTGGGTCCCTCGGCTCCCCGGAGGTGGCGCGGCTGGTGGGTGGGGCCGACTCCTGGGACCGAGGCTCCTGGCCTGGGAGAGAGGATATCCATCAGACGTCTGGAGTGCGAGTCTGTGTGCATGTCCGTGTGTGGGAGCCTGCCTGAGACTGGGGGAGCACATGGAGATGCTCAGGCGGTTCAAGGTGATGCTGAGTGTCCCGGAAGACTGACCACTGTCACCCTTCCCCTGGATCCTTTTTGGGGGTCCGTCTATTCATCAAATATTAACAACCCGTTTGTGAAACGGGTGGACCCCAAGTGGGTGGGCAGAGATCTCTAAGACAATAGTCCAGTGTGGGTAAGGGGCATCTTGGGCTGGCAAATACCTGCCACGGGGCAAAATGAGGGAAACCGTGGCAGAGGAGCTCCCCAACCCAGGAGAAGGGGGGGTGTGGGGTGGGGGGAAGAAAGGCAACCAGCCTAGAGCCAGACCCAGACCTTCTGTCTTGTCACCCATGTTTCCAGAGCCTGGAAGGACTAAGGTAGTTGCGCTGTGGGAGGAGGATTGAGGTTGGGCTCTGGAAATTCTGGAATTTTTTGGGTAGACAAGACAGAGGTGGTGGGAAGAGGGCATTCTAGCCTGAGGGAACAGCAGAGCAAAAGTCTAGAGGCGAGGACAGTAGGGTCATCCCTAGGTGGCAGGAGTGTGGGGTCCACGGAGGGGAGGACAGTTGGTTGGGGTCAGGGTGTGTGGGGCTCTGTCCATGAAACCCAGTGTCTGGACTTAATTTGTGGGCACCAGGGAGCAGCTGTGCTGTTCGAGGAGGGGTGCAGTGGCCAGACAAATGTTTCAGGCCAGTGGGGCCTCCCCTCCTGCCTTGTGTGGGAGGCTGGATGCCATGTGGTGCTAAGATTCTGGAGTCTACATCTCTTTGAATCTGCCTGTTGCTATTTTAAATTCACAGACTTGCCTGATTGGGACCCCTCCCTCCAGAGGCATCCTGAGATCAGTTTCTGTGAGAGGCAAGACCTGCCTCAACTTTCCTCCTCAACTCCAGTCCTGGAGGCACCTTCCAATCAGAGAGAGTCTCTGGGGACAGCGCCCCCTTGGAGCTGAGGGAGGCCCTGGGTCCTTCATCTAGAGCTACGTTGTCCAAAAGAAACCAAGTGAGAGCTCATGTAGACACATTAGAAAAAGTAAAAAGAAAGGTGAAATGAATTCTAAGGCTATATTGTGTTTAGCTCAGTGTATCTTAAATGTTCTTTTGACATGTAATCCATAAAAAATATTAATGAGATGTTTTCTTTTTTGAATACTAAGTTATCAATAGCCAGTGTGTATTTGACATCACATGCCTCAATTCCGACGAGACACATCTGAGTGCCTGATAGTCACACGTGACTGGAGGCTGCTGTGCTGGGCAGCAGAGGTCTGGACCTCAGAGCTGGGAGGCAGAGGTGGGGGAAGCTTCGAGCTTCCCAGAGGGTGGAGAACCTACAGGGATGGGCAGGGATGAGCACAGAGAGGCCTTGCCAAGGGCAGACAAGCACGGGAGTGCCCTTTTCAGGTGTAATTTGAAATCTCTGGTTGGAGGTAGCTGCAGGCAAGCACGCTTAGGCTCACACACGACTCACGCATGTCTCCAGGTTGACATTCAAAGTCAGTGTACTAAGAAATCATACACAGGGGGACTTTCAAGGGCACAAAAATGAGTACAGTATTCTCTCCCCTGCCAAAAATCCTGTCTTCTTATCCTGAATTAAACCAGGCCCAGCCTGGTCACACTTTGACTCTTCCCTGTTCAAAAGTTTTGTCGGGGATGTGATGGAGATGGAGAGAGGGCAAAGCTGTGGCCGGTGGCCAGCTGGGAAGGAGAACTGCATCCATGGGTACCACTCACCGGTGTGGCTATCGGTCGTAGTCCAAAGCAATGATGCTCATTTAGCAGGGATACACGTCAGGCCCTTGGGTTACGGTAAAAACCAAACCAAACCAAACCAAACCAAACCCTCATATCAGTGATGGCCTAGGGAGGCAGCTCATGTGTGAGATACCTTGGGGATTCAGGTGACTCTGAGCCCTGAACAAATCAACTGTGTCACATGCCTGCTGTAGATGAGCTGCTACTTATTGAGGCAACGGGGGTAGGGTAGGGATGTCCAGTGCCCAGGAAGAGCCAGGCAGCCTTATTGCAGAGCAGGGTTCTCGGAGATGTTAGGTTCAGTTTAGGATGGAGAAGGGTGCACATTGTGTGTGTGTGTATGTGTGTGTGTGTGTGTGTGTGTTACAAGAGCTGCCTGCCTCCCCCTGGCTGTGGGGCTGTCACCTGTAGGATAAGGATGCTGATTGTGAAATAGGTCCTATGATTGTTGCAGGCAAGAAAACATGGCTCAGAGAGGCTAAGCAACTTCCCAAGATCACACAGTTAGTACGTGGCAGAACTGGGACTTGAACTCAAGTCTCTCCAACTCAAATCCATGCACTTGGCACCAGATTAGCATTTGCTGTGTACCTTCCTGAGGCAGAACCCAGATGGATGAGTTTCCAAACATGATGTTCAACCATAAAATGGAAGGAATGAGCACCTAGCCCGGCATGTTCTTCCCAGCCCCCGCCCTCTGGGCTGCGCTTGGACACTCAGCTAACCTCTGTCTCTTTCTCTTTGTCTGTCTGTGTCTGTCTGTCTCCCCCTCTCTCTGCCTCTCTTTGTGGTGGGAGGTTCCCCCTCTTCTCTTTCATCCTCTGGATGTGTGTCCCTCTGACTCTGGCCTTTGTCTCCTTTCTGCCACTCCTTCCTCTCTGTCCCTCTGCCTCCCTCCCCGTGCCTATCCTGGTCTCTCCACAGGACCCTCCGGTGGACATGGGTGGGGCCCTGGGGCCAGCCTTGCTACTCACCTCACTCCTCGGTGCCTGCGCAGGGCCGGGCCCTGGGCAGGGCGAGCAGGCTGTGACAGTGGCCGTGGTGTTTGGCAGCTTGGGGCCATCGCAGGCCCAGGCCCGTATCCGCCTCACCCCCCAGAGCTTCCTGGACCTGCCCCTGGAGATCCAACCACTCACTGTGGGGGTCAACAACACCAACCCCAGTAGTCTTCTCACCCAGATCTGTGGGCTCCTGGGTGCTGCCCGCGTCCATGGCATCATCTTTGAGGACAACATCGGCACTGAGGCCGTGGCCCAGATCCTGGACTTCATCTCCTCCCAGACCCACGTGCCTATCCTCAGCATCAGTGGGGGCTCTGCCGTGGTCCTCACCCCTAAGGTGCCTGTTCAAAATCATGTCCCCTCATCCCTGGAGCCTGGAGCCGGGCTGGGGCTGGGGGAGTGGGGCTGAGTCTGGGCCAGGGAGACGCTCAGGTCCTGGGAAGCTGGGACTGGGTGGGATCAGCAAGGAGGTGGGGGCTGAGGGAGACATGGGTGAGGGAGGAGAAGGCTGTGGGAATGATGTTCCCATGTTTTAGAAGAGAAACTTTCTGGGCTGCTTTGACATTCATGTCTGGACAAGGGCTGGGCAAACTCACCCCTGGTTCTGGGGCAACCCTGGCTCACCTTCTTCCTGTTTCTCTGGCCTCCCTTGGTCAGGCTCTGGATCCAGGGGCAAAGGGCCAGGCTGAGATCTGATGTAGTTGACCGGCAGGGGAGAGCATCCTGGGACAGGTCACTGCCCAAGGCCTGGGGGCGGCAGGCCCTCGCAGAGCTTGCCGTCCTGTGGGGAGAAAGTTCCAAACACATTGCTGCCGTCACAGCTGGGATAAGCATCCTGAAGGAAGATCACAGGATGCCATGCCACAAGGGAGTCTAACGGGACCCCCTGTGGGTCGGTGGTTGATCAGAGAAAGGATCTTAAGAAATATATCGAAGCTGAGACCTGGAAGGTGAGGGAGGGTTGACAAGGTATGTGTGTGTACAGAGTTGGGGTGAGGGTTCCAGGTAGAGGGGGCAGGTGGTGTGAATGCCCAGAGGTGGGAAGTAGCTTGGAGTTTCTGAGGGACAGAGAGAAGCCTGAAGAAGGTGGTGGGGTCCCACCCACATAGGAAAATATTTGGGTTTTACCCTAAGTAACTGGGGAGCTGAGGAAGGTGTTGAGGGGAGAGACTGATCTGATTTGCATTTCTTTTATGATTTTTTTGTTGTAGGGAATTTTGAGCAGACACAAAAGTAGACAATTATAATCCCATGTACCCCTATTCACCCCAGGCTGAGCATGCCTCATCCTTACCCCCACCCACTTCCCCCTCGTCTGTATTATTTTGAAGCAAAGCCCAGACATATTTATATCATCCATAAATACTTCAGTTCACATCTCTAGATGATAGGGCTTTAAAAATAATAAAACCACCATACATCATCACGTCTAAAAAAATAATAAAAATTCCTTAATCTCATAAAATACCCAGGCAGTGCTCAAATTTTCCCCATTGTCTCATAAATGTCATAAATGTTTATTTTTAAGTCTGTTGGCTTGAATCAGGAACCAAATTAGGTTCCCACATGGCGATTGGTTGACAGGACTTTTGAGTCTCAGTCTCTAGACTCCTTCTCCATCTCTTTTTTCCCCTTGCTGTTTGTTTGTTGAAGGAACTGGGTTACTTGTCCTATAGGGTTTTCTTGGAGTTGCTTTTAAAAAAAGATTGGGACCGTCAGAGTGTGGTGAAATCTTGGAGGGCCCGCAGTGGCAGCAGGGAACCCACAGTTAGGAGAGGATTGTGCTAGCTCAGGCTCCCAGGGCAGCGAGTGCCCTGGGCATTTGTGGTGGCAGAGGCAGTGGAGATGCTGAACTTTCTCATTTCCAGGGCTCCCCGGAGGATGGTGATTTCCCAGTTACCTTGGGGCCTGACATTAGCTCTCAGCACAGTGGTTCTCCAACCTCAATAGTGCTTTAGAAAAATGCAGACGCCCAGAGTTCCATCTCAGAGATTTCCATTCAGTAGGTCTGGGCTAGCGGGGTCAAGAGCCACGTGAAGAGCTTGTTGAAATACAGATTCCTGGGCGACATACTCAGAGATCCTCAGCCAGTAGGTGTGCAATGCGCCCGAGAATTTGCATTTCCTCAAGCTCCCAGGTGACGCTGCTACTGCTGGTTTTCGGTCCAGCATTGGTAGGTGGGGGTCGAGCACGCATATTTTAAAAAGCTCTCCAGGTGATTCTAATGGGCGGCAGGGGCTGGGAACCACGTCCATGGCAGAAGGGAGAGAGGGTGTGGCGAGATAGGGGTTCCCGGGACGCCTAGCATCTTCCGACTCAAAGGAGTGTGGGGGTTGACTTGGGAGCAGAAGTTGGGGCGGGGCGGAACTCGGCTCGCCCCGCCCCGCTGATGCCCCGCCCCCCCCGCCCCCAGGAGCCGGGCTCCGCCTTCCTGCAGCTGGGCGTGTCCCTGGAGCAGCAGCTGCAGGTGCTGTTCAAGGTGCTGGAGGAGTACGACTGGAGCGCGTTCGCCGTGATCACCAGCCTGCACCCGGGCCACGCGCTCTTCC